GGATACATTTCGGATACATTTTTTTCTCGAAATTGGATATATTTTGTTTTTATTGAGTGGGAAAACTGGTCGAATTACTTATTAATAGATACACTTTGTTCTTAACATTCTAAACAAGAATTTTTATTCGCTTCATGTTCAATATTCTGGTTCGCATATTTTTTAAAATTTTACTTTTCGGAAAGTACACAAAAAAGCACAGAGTGGTAATAATCCATACATCAAGTTCATAACATATCAACAAATATATTACGACGCTAGTATTTATATATGTACATAATTATGCATGCAGAATGCACATTCAGTCTAATTGGCAGTACTATGTACTTCAACTAATGTCTTTATATCTAACAAGTCCCAATGCTCAGAGAGAAACTTGAAAGCACACCTTATTTTATATGGCCTTTTTTAAATCGAAGTGGCTATTTTTTGAGAAGAAATATTAAAATAAATTCACATTTATTATAAAGCAGGTAAAATTTAGAAATTATATTTGAAAGATCAAAGAAATATATTAATATTTTCATTGATAATTATTTTAAAATTTAAAAAAAACCGGAAAAACAACAAGCACATCCTTCGCCTTCAACGTTTTATATGTTACTGAAAGCATTTTATTATTTTTAAGTGAACAGCTTTTTTTTCTAATAGGGTAAGCTAACTCAAGATATGGGAAGTAACTGTAGTGTCAAGTTGAAAATATAATTAATGAAAGATAATTATTTGAATATTGATATGAATACATAGTAAAGAAAAAATTTGAAGAGGGAATTAGAAAATAATATCTAAAATACAATCAAATACTATTTGTTAAATACAAATTTTATATAAACTTCAAAATTTTACCTCTATTTTTATTTGAAAAAATATTAAAAACTTGCTATCATTTATATCAATTACCTAAGAAAAAAAATATTTAAAATGTTTGGAAAAAACAATCATATATTTTTATGACCGGATTTGAATATTTTTCTATTTTTGAAATAAATGGTATTTTACCAAATGACTCAAAAATTCCGACTGTAAAATAACAGGTATTTTAAAATTTTTGTTCAGGTATTTTAAAATTCTTTCCGTTTAGAATTAAGATAGGTCATCCATACACATGCAGGAACATTTTATAAATAGATTGCTCTTGTTTACCTGCTAATAAAATATGAAAAAAGAGCACAGCAAAATTTTTGAAGCACTCAATATAACATGTTTGAAATAGTTTTAAAATAATTATTTAAAAAAAAAATTATTGGAAGTAGGTACATACATATTTATTTTTAATAACTTAAAAACTAACTGAAATTATTTGAAACAATTTTATAAGTAACGTATGAATAATCGAAATGAGATAATTCAAATTGTTGAAATGTGTCAACCTATATTACTTTTAATAACATTTTTGTTAGCCGACACTACTCAACTTACTTTATTGAGAAATACAAAATGTGCATGAAAAAACATAGATCCTTCCTCATTAACATTTGAAACCATACTGAAATATGAATTTCAAATTTTTTTTCATTTTTTCTTTCCTCCTACCTTTCTTTCTTTTTCGTGTGATAGAATTTAATGGGAAGCTTTTTAAAAAATGTGTATAATATCCTGAGATTTTTTAAAATATTAATCTCTTTTTTACGTAAAAAAAAAGAAAAAAATAATAAAAAATATGACACGATCAGTGGCATTTAAAGAAAAAACCAACAACGAGGCCAAAAATTCGTAACATTTCGTAAAAAAAATTGAGTATTGGGACTTGTTAGATATATACCTAATTTTTTTTACGAAATGTTACGAATTTTTGGCCTCGTTGTTGGTTTTTTCTTTAAATGCCACTGATCGTGTCATATTTTTTATTATTTTTTTCTTTTTTTTTACGTAAAAAATAGATTAATATTTTAAAAAATCTCAGAATATTATACACATTTTTTAAAAAGCTTCCCATTTAAATTCTATTGCACGAAAAAGAAAGAAAGGTAGGAGGAAAGAAAAAATGAAAAATAATTTCAAATTCATATTTCAGTATGGTTTCAAATGTTAATGAGGAAGGATGTATGATTTTTTATGCACATTTTGTATTTCCCAATAAGGTAAGTTGAGTAGTGTCGGCTAACAAAAATGTTATTAAAAGTAATATAGGTTGACACATTTCAACAATTTGAATTATCTCATTTCGATTATTCATACGTTACTTATAAAATTGTTTCAAATAATTTCAGTTAGTTTTTAAATTATTAAAAATAAATATGTATGTACCTACTTCCAATAAATTTTTTTTTAAATAATTATTTTAAAACTATTTAAAACATGTTATATTGAGTGCTTCAAAAATTTTGCTGTGCTCCTTTTTCATATTTTATTAGCAGGTAAACAAGAGCAATCTATTTATAAAATGTCCCTGCATGTGTATGTATGACCTATCTTAATTCTAAACGGAAAGAATTTTAAAATACCTGAACAAAAATTTTAAATTACCTGTTATTTTACAATCGGAATTTTTGAGTCATTTGGTAAAATACCATTTATTTCAAAAATAGAAAAATATTCAAATCCGGTCATAAAAATATATGATTGTTTTTTCCAAACATTTTAAATATTTTTTTTTCTTAGGTAATTGATATAAATGATAGTAAGTTTTTAATATTTTTTCAAATAAAAATAGAGGTAAAATTTTGAAGTTTATATAAAATTTGTATTTAACAAATAATATTTGATTGTATTTTAGATATTATTTTCTAATTCCCTCTTCAAATTTTTTCTTTACTATGTATTTATATCAATATTTAAGAATTATCTTTCATTAATTATATTTTCAACTTGACACCACAGGTACTTCCCATATCTTGCGTTAACTTACCCTATGAGAAAAAAAAGCTGTTCACTTAAAAATAATGAAATGCTTTCAGTAACAAATAAAACGTTGAAGGCGAAGGTTGTGTTTGTTGTTTTTCCGCTTTTTTTTAAATTTTAAAATAATTATCAATGAAAATATTAATATATTTTTTTGATTTTTCAAATATATGTTCTAAATTTTACCTGCTTTATAATAAGTGTGAATTTATTTTAATATTTCTTCTCAAAAAATAGCCACTTCGATTTAAAAAAGGCCATATAAAATAAGGTGTGCTTTCAAGTTTCTCTCTGAGCATTGGGACTTGTTAGATATAAAGACATTATAAAGACATTACTACAACATTTGTTAGATAAAAATTTAATAATTAAGTACACTAAGTCCTCGAGATACGACATCTTCTAATACGACATTTCGAGTTACGACATGATATAAATTTGGATCATTTTTATTCGGCTTACGACATTGTTCCTAATACGACATTGAAAATTTAAAAAAAAAAATTGTTTTTTTGACAGATTTTATTGTTTTTTGAATAAAAATCTATACCGAATTTAGTTATAAGACGAGACTAAAGCACATACTTCAACAATGAACTATTTCTAGTTAAAAATTCTAGTTAGTAGTTAAGAATACGAATTGAAGTGATAAAATATCAACTTATTTAAATTTTATTTTATTTATTTTTGTTACATCATTGAATTTTTTTGATTTTTTTATTATATTTTGTTGTTTTTTTTCAAACTTTGTTACCTTTTTGTTAGAAAAAAATGTGAATTATTTTATAACATAGTTTGTCTAGTTCACTTTTTGTTTCAATACATTTTTTTTCCTCCTCAAACGACAATTCGAGTTACGACATAAATTTCTGGAACCAAAAATGTCGTATCTCGAGGACTTAGTGTAAATTAAAATAAGTAACTAAGTAAACGAAAGGGAAATTTCATATTTGATATTCAATTGAATAGTTTAATTTTTAGTAGAAAAGTATAAAAAAAATGACACAGAAAAAACAAAGTAGAGAAATTATCAAACATATAATCATGTAGAAAAAAATTATTATCTTATAGATTTATAGTTCAACCCTATGCAGCTGGTTTAAAATCTTTCTTTTTTCTTTTAATAGCTTTGTTTTGATTCCTTTAACAGCTTTGTTTTGATTTTTCTTTCCAGAATGTTATGATAATTGGTTGGTAATTTTTGATATGTGCACAAAACTTTATTTCAATCCATCCTTCTATAGGATCACATTCTTAAAAAAATAAAAGTAAAGTATTTTCGGTTTTTTGTATACTTTTTTACGGTTGCCAACAACTAGGGCGCCAAAAAGAAATTTTTTATTAATAAAAAACATTATTTCACAATTATATTGCATAATTTTATTGTGAATACATAATTCACAACCAAAACAGAAACTTAAAAATATGCTCTATATTTTTACTAAATATTTTAAATTATTTAATTTTTAGAAAATTATAAAAAAATTAGATATTTTAGTAAACTTGAAATCAGAATATTTATAAAATGGTAAATATAACTGTAAGGTATGTAACTTTAACTGCGATTGTAAACTATAATTATTTAGACTTACAAGTTTTGGGAAAAAACAATATACCAATAACCATTTCTCCGGTGTTTAGTAATGTTATAGAAACTTTTGTAAACAATCAGCTAATACATTTAAAAAATTATAATTTGATTAATATTCAACAATAGGATTTTAAAACATAATCTGATACACACGCTACTCTATTTGAAATGCTATTTAAGTTCATGCTGGAATTGATAAGAACAACAAATTAAGAACAGTGCTTTTTTGATATAACAAAAGCGTTGGTAGAGATATTGTTGAAAACTTTGATTGAGCATGGGATAAGGGGAAATGAATATTGCTGGCTTAAAAGTTATTTAGCTAATAGACAACAGTTTGCGTTTGTGACAACCTTGAAAGTGAAAAGAAAACTATTAGGTATGGCGTAATACATGGACGTTCGTTAGACTCGACTCTGTTTTCGATGTACATAGTAGCCTACAGACTTTAAAATTAAGAGACACACCATATATGTATGTATGTATGCAGATGATTTGGCAAAAGTTTATACAGAGAAGTCGGAAGAACGATTGGAAGATGTAATTAATTGTGATATGGAAATCCTAAATGGATGAAACAACACAAATTAAATGTAAACGCAATTAAAACAAAGTTTAAAAAGTTAAAAAGAAGTTTAAAGTTAAAAGAAGACTAAATGACTATCTACATGTAAAATTTAATAATTCCCAATTGAGTTTAATGAGAGGTTATATGTAAATCCAAAAATCACAAACAAATTGCAAATTTTATATTTCAAACTGACATATAAAGCGAATCGAAAATTGACATACCGTCACGTTAATTTCGATCCGGATTGCGTTAGCGTTGTTGTGTTGCATTTTGCGCAAAGAATAACATGGTTAAGGTAAATGTTAAGATATTAAGGCTATAAGTTTGAGGTTTAAAGTTATGGTTTTGAAAGATATCATTTAGAAGATAAAATTGGGAAAAGTTATTTGTTTTTTAAATACGTTTACTTAGTAAATATAGATATAACTAATTTTATCTTGTAACAGTATTTAAAATAAATGTAATATGATTACTTTGGAGTTACCATTTTTGCAATTTCTTCCAGTGATTTTATTATGCTTCTTGTCAGTAGCTATATACAATTATTACAAAGCTAGGTCTGTAAAAGTAACATTAGAAAAATTATATTAATCGACTAATTTTTAGATCACGGTGTGGCATCGTAGTTAACTGTTGGTTTTGCAATGAAAATTCAATTGTTCCTTTAAAAAAGAAAAATTCGTGGGTTTGTTCTAATTCAGTATGTCAACAATACAATGGATTTAATATTGATGGAGATTATAACGTCGAAATCGTAGAACAGTTTGCTCATATCAATAATATTCATTCTTTCCTTCAATCGCCAAAAATTTTTAACAGAGAAAACGAATATTCAAATGGATTTTGTTTTGATTGCAATAGAAAGCAGCAATTAAAAATTGAAAAGATTTCTCAATTCGAGCCGAAGAAGGAGAGTGCGTATGAAGCAGAATTTCATAAATATAAGTAAGAATCAAATGTTGAAAATTAAATATAATTTGATACAAGTTACCCAATTTTCAGATCGCGTTTGGAAAATCTATATAAACTATGTCCGACTTGTGCAAAACACCTTAATCGAATTTTACAGGATAAGAAAAAGATTGTGTTAGGGTTAAAACTTTCAGATTTCTTATTCAAAAAAGCAAGGGATTTGAAAAATTTCCGAAAATTAGTTATTACAAATAGGATTAGTTCTTCTAAATGGAATTTTATTTTAAATTTTTTAATCTTATTGACGTCATTATTTAACTTTTGTTATATTTTGATTGAAATTGCAAAAATTTTAGAATTTCATATTGAAACAAATTACAAAAATGTTACACCAGTAATTTTCAATATTTTTGATGAAAGAATAATGAACACTAGCTTTTTGTGCAAAACTTTCTTGATAGTAAAATGTGTATATATTTTTGTATCGCATTACGTTGGCTTATGCTTCCCGAAATACGTAATAAATAAAGGAAAGATCATACGCTTTACTTGTTTGCTTCTTAGTATGTTTCGGAGTTTGATTGATGGACTCGAAATAACAAGATACACTATTATATTAACGGCTTGCAGTGTGTACTTTATAGTCGAAAGTGTCCATTATTTTGATTTTATGGTATATTTTAAGGTAATGTGAAAGTCATAATTATACTTAAAAATGTATACATATATTATATATGTAACTATTTCTTTCAGATGCTTCTTTCAATAGTAATTTTAATATTTTCAATACCTTCATTGAGAAGACATTCGAATATGGTCGCCAGTAATAGCTTTCATAAAATTTATCTTAAGGATAATTGTCGAGAAGGCAGCACTTTTTTCGAGTGTACTGCATCACATAAAAATTTAGTTGATTATTCTAAAACTAAGCCAAAATACTTTAGTGGGAAAATTTGTAGGAAATTACAAAATGCGGAGAGTTTTTCAAATTTGAATATAAAAAGAAAAATTGATGTCTGTACGTTAGAATATCCTTTTAAAACGTTCAAATTAAACAAAGATACATCGTTATTACCCTTCACATTTTTTCATAGATCTGAAAATTCTTCAATAACAGATAATGAAGGCTATGGTCAAAAATTTGAATCTTGTCAGCGAAAAAGTACTATAAACGATTCAAGACAATTTGACGAAATTAATAATTTCCGTATAGCTAATAGTTCAGATGATATACTTCACCAGTTTCATCAACTTTCTTCTGACGACATTTGGAAGCAATATCAATGCAATTTCAAAAACACGATGAGACAAGAAATATATACAAGTTGTCCTTTCAACGATCTCGCGAAAGTTCAAAAAATTAAACCATCCATACTATCACCGCCGAAATTTTGCCACGAAGGCAAAGAGTTCGCAACAGATACTAGATCATGGGTTTCGGGGGGATATTTTAATTCTAGTCATGGTGGAGATGTTAATTCATTTAGTCAAAACATTTCACTCTCGATGTTAACTAAAAGTAATTTATCTAGGGCGTCATCACAATCGTCGGGTTTTGAATCCAATAGTAGCTCAATTCAAAAACGTTTAAATCATTTTGGAACAAGGAATAACACGGAAAGTTTTTCTACGTTGCAAAAAAGAAATAGTTGTCAGTTCCTAGATAGAAATAGCCCTCGTAACCCTCACCTTGAGGATTCTATGTCCAATTATATAAGTGAACCATTTGTTTTTGAAAAATGTTCGCTACATAGCTCGAATGCCAATGAACAACAACGGATTATATAATAGCTGCTGTGAAATGGTCATTCTTTGATTTTGAAGATATTCAATTATAACATTTTCTTCCTTAATCCGTAACAACTATATCTTTACAATAGATTTGCAATTTAAAATAGTTTATAATGACAGATATGTTTGAATAAATTTTTTCTAGCTGAATTATAAAAAAAAAATAAAGTATATTAGGTTTAGAAATTTATACAAACATCAACATTTTAATTTTTACCTTTCAGCTTTTATATTCTACTTGCATTTTTTGGAAATTTCTGCTTTTCAGTTTTAAAAAAATATAACGAAAATTACAAAATGTGTACATATATGAAGATATTCAAGTAGGTATAAAAGCCAAATATGTAGTAAAATTAAAATTTCTGCTTTAACGAATATTCTTTTAAAAAAGAATTTTTCTGTTAAAAAGCAAACATTACAAAAAATCAAGGAAATATTTACATATATTTGAATCACTAATTTTCTATGTTTGTAGACAGTAGACCAATTAAGTAAATTTGAATATTCTAATAAATTTAAAGTAAATTTTCCTTAATTTTAATAAATTTCTAGTAAATTTTCCGAATATTCTAGTTAGAATAAATTATTAAAAACTGAATTTGAAAGATTTTTATATTTTAATAGATATCAAAATAAATTTAACCTGTTTACTTTTCCATTTTCTGTTGATATTGAAGCACTTGATGCAGATTTGCTTTAGTTATGTTCGGAAGCACATATTTTTGTGAATAATTGTTCTCAATATGTTCAGTCAATATTACAAATTGCAACTGCCAATTAAATTGAACATAATTTCAAAGATTTAGTAACTGAAAAACGTTGTTAAATTTCTTCAAAAAAGTGATTTTATATTTTTTGTATGACTGCATTATTTGTATGTTTTATATTACCTTTTATGTGAATAATAAAAATGAAAATTTGAGTATAATTTAGTAGTTTAAGTTTTTTATTGTGCGGCCCGAATCAATGTTCAGAAATGGTCCTCTATGATGAGTTTGATACTCCTGTATAAGGATGTCTTGTACACTATAAAAGTTTTTCCTGGACCTTTACATTACAAAAAAATCAAGACCACTGCTTTTTTTGTGAATATGTACACATATTTGTTAAAATTGCATATGGATTTTTGGCAAAATGAAATTTCTGAGTAATTTTTTTGTTTCTTTTAGAAAAATTATGATTTTTGCCTATTTTGAGTTTTCTGTACGAAAAGTTGACTAAAACCTAAAAATTATTATGCTAAAGGAAGTTTGAAGTTTTCTGAGTAACATATCAAGTGCAAATTGCTCGAAATTTTAATTATAATTTTGATTAAATACATATATGGTAAATTCTTAAACGTCAAATTTTACAAAATCTGAGTTGTCTGAGTTTACAAATACTCTACTGCAGGCAGTCTGACGTAGTAATTTAGTACATAAATTTGATGTATTGAGTGACTATCATTGCGTTAAAAATAATATAAAAAAAAATTTTTGTTAATTTTTAATATGTAAGTAGTGTCTTTATATCTAACAAGTCCCTATACTCAATTTTTTTTTACGAAATATTACGAATTTTTGGCTCGTTGCTGGTTTTTTCTTTAAATGCCACTGATCGTGTCATATTTTTTATTATTTTTTCTTTTTTTTTAAGTTTAATATTTTAAAAAATCTCAGGATATTATAAACATTTTTAAAAAGTTTCCCATTTAAATTCTATCACACGAAAAAGAAAGAAAGGTAGGAGGAAAGAAAAAATGATAAAAAATTTGAAATTCATATTTCAGTATGGTTTCAAATGTTAATGAGGAAGGATCTATGTTTTTTCATGCACATTTTGTATTTCCCAATAAGGTAAGTTGAGTAGTGTCGAATAACAAAAATGTTATTAAAAGTAATATAGGTTGACACATTTCAACAATTTGAATTATCTCAATACGGTTATTTATACGTTACTTATAAAATTGTTTCAAATAATTTCAGTTAGTTTTTAAGTTATTAAAAATAAATATGTATGTACCTACTTTCAATAATTTTTTTCTTAAATAATTATTTTAAAACTATTTAAAACATGTTATATTGAGTGCTTCAAAAATTTTGCTGTTCTCTTTTTTCATATTTTATTAGCAGGTAAACAAGAGCAATCTATTTATAAAATGTCCCTGCATGTGTATGTATGACCTATCTTAATTCTAAACGGAAAGAATTTTAAAATACCTGAACAAAAGTTTTAAATTACCTGTTATTTTACAATCGGAATTTTTGAGTCATTTGGTAAAATACCATTTATTTCAAAAATAGAAAAATATTCAAATCCGGTCATAAAAATATATGATTGTTTTTTCCAAACATTTTAAATATTTTTTTTTCTTAGGTAATTGATATAAATGATAGTAAGTTTTTAATATTTTTTCAAATAAAAATAGAGGTAAAATTTTGAAGTTTATATAAAATTTGTATTTAACAAATAATATTTGATTGTATTTTAGATATTATTTTCTAATTCCCTCTTCAAATTTTTTCTTTACTATGTATTCATATCAATATTCAAATAATTATCTTTCATTAATTATATTTTCAACTTGACACTACAGTTACTTCCCATATCTTGAGTTAGCTTACCCTATTAGAAAAAAAAAGCTGTTCACTTAAAAATAATGAAATGCTTTCAGTAACATATAAAACGTTGAAGGCGAAGGTTGTGCTTTTTGTTTTTCCGCTTTTTTTAAAATTTTAAAATAATTATCAATGAAAATATTAATATATTTTTTTGATTTTTCAAATATATTTTCTAAATTTTACCTGCTTTATGATAAATGTGAATTTATTTTAATATTTCTTCTCAAAAAATAGCCACTTCGATTTAAAAAGACCCATATAAAATAAGGTCGTGCTTTCAAGTTTCTCTCTGGGCATTGGGACTTGTTAGATATAAAGACATTAATGTAAGTATAAAATTATTTTAAATCTAAAAATTTTTTTTTTTGTTTTGACGTTTACGGATGATCAAAATTCAAAGTCCATTACGGGTAAAAAGTTTACTACATTTCTGTCCGTAAAAGTTTTATACGTCAAACAGTTTGCAGACTGAAAACAAAATTTTGACGTTAAAGAATTTGCGGATAGTTTCGAGTTTTTTCCGCATTTTTTTTGGCAGCGTTATGTCAGGTAACATATTTGAGAGAATTGAGAGTGCACTGAATAATTAAAAATTGGTGCTATATTTGTTAGTCTAGAACAGCGAATTAGAAATATGTACTAAAGCAAGTTGGAACTTGAAAAAAGAATGAAGCCGAATTTTTTCTATTTATCTCTTTCTTTGCTCCGAAGATTTTTTTTTTTTCTTAAATCGCTTATACTATAGGTTAGGTTTGGTTAACGCTTCCCCCCGAAGGGTACACATAGGCCATCCAGGCCCGTTGTGGGACCGCCAGATTTCTCATTTTCCACCCCTCATTCGAACCAACCGGAACTTCTCACAAATCGGCGAAAATCCCTTATATTTACATCCGTTAGGTCCGCAACGCAACCGAAAAAGTAACACCCAAGAAATCTCTTCCTGGAGTTCGCCAGTGCCGGACATACTCACAGGAGGAGGATCACCGTTTCCTCCTCTCCCCCATCGAAGCAGATCCTACAAAGATGTTGGCGGGCGGCCAACCCTTCTCGCATGTCCGTCAACTAGACAATGGCCCATCAGAACCCCTATCACAGCACTGATATCACCCCGTTGAAGAGATATCAGGTCCCCGATGCGACGCAAGTCTAGCTTTGACCACAGTTTCCTCGTCGCGTTACACGTTGTTCCATTTGCCCATCTGAGATTGATGCGCTCCACTGCCACCTTGCGTAGCAGCAGCTTATAGGTGTTTAGAGGCATGTCCAGGTTCTCCTTTCAAGGTAGAATCCCAAGGATTGTCCCATGTCTCGCAAGCTCTTCTGCCTTACCCTTTCCCGAAACACCACTGTGTCCGTGAACCCAAACTAAGTTCATCTCGAACTGCCTCGCCATCTCATTGAAAAACGGCCTAAGTTTAAGCAAACTTTGTAATGATATAGAGAATAAAGTATTAAATAAATAAATAAAATAAAAAATAACCTTCATTACAAGACCCTTCTGGATAGAGAGACCCCAAATTCCAAAGCCCTTATCGCGGTCTGGCTATCCGTGAAGATTCTGACGTTACCGGCAGATATTACACCGCGACTACCTCTGTTTGAAAGACACTGCGGTGATTCTGTAGATAGAAGAAGAGCCCAACTTCCGATTGCTCAGAATAGACTCCTCCGCCTACCCTGTTGTCAAGCTTAGATCCGTCCGTGTCAAAATGCTTGGACCCGCCTCCGTTCAGTCAGGGCTTCCTCGGCGGTTCCTGGTTCCTGGTGAATGAGAGCACAGAAGGAACAGAATCAAGTGTCCCCACCACGTGTCCCCAATCCGCAATAACGGAAGCATGCCCCCTTGTGCCATATGTCCACCGATGTGCGGAGTAGGTATTCTGGCACTCTGGGATGGGAAAAAATCAGCCCATATCGCACGACCCACTTTCACTTTCTTATTTCCTGGTACAGGTAGATGACCTGCTAAAGTGTGTCATGACTTGTATAACTGGTCGTTTATTTCCTGGTATAGGTAGATGACTTGTTTGAATGTGTCATGACCCATGTACATATGCCGGAGTTGTCCAGCAGATAAGGAAATTTAAATTAAATATTTTAAAAATAGTATTAGGTAATCAGAAATATCAGAAAGTACGTATTTTTAATTTTACCTTGATAGTAAAAAAGGAAAAAACTTGTTTTATTTACATTGAGGTACCTATAATTTTTATTTTCCTTCTACCTTAGTTCTTGTTATTGTATCTAGTTGCTTGCGCACCGCATTGTTTTTGTTTTTACTATGCATAATTAAGAAATAGCAGGAATGTCTTATTGCTTACTTTTGCATAAGAAAAACAAGATGCATGAAATTTGTTGTTGTTGGTGCAAATAGTTGCGTTGAAAATAAAAACAAATTCTTGTTTTCATTTTCTTTGATAGTACTTAAATACAAAAAAAAAAAAAAAACTGGTTAATCAAAAAAAGTCTAGTTGTTAATACATTACGCATTTGTATTTTTCTTAAAGTAGAATGTTATATAGAACGTATATACCTATAAATTACAAAACACATTTTTTTTTTTTTTTTACTTTTTCTTTAATAT